TGCCCGCAGCCCCGGACGCCGTCGACTCCTGGCAAGCAGCGCGTTGGGGCGCAGAGGAACAACCCCCACACGAGGTACGGGAGGGAAAGGCATCGACTCTCGTTCAACGCCCGCCTCCCCGCGCCCCAGAGCTGCGGCGCTGGCCACCAAGCAGCAAGCACAGACCCACGAGAGCTGCTGTTCCGTCTTTGCTCATCGAGGAGGTCTGCCTCGAGGAGCCCACCAGAAACAAACCGGCCACCCAGTCACATCCCTGCCTGCACGCCACGGCTGACTTACGTTCTGAAGCAATGACTTCAAGATCCACTTCAGATGGTCGGACTCCAAACTTGATCTCTGCTCTCTGAGCAATTTGTTCAAAAACCTTAAGACGTCTACTAAGAGCTTCTCATCCTCTGCAGAAGCTGGAAGCACTTGCAGAAACCTGCAATGTGAACAAAAAATACTCACTTTCATACTTGTAGCACATGAAGAGAGAGTTTAAGATCTTGGCCTAATACGATGGATGTCACCTGCACATGTGGAATGACAGAGTAAATATGTGTATTGCATATATTCACATATAGAAAATACGGAATTATATTATACACATACACAAAATATATTTAAATACTTTTATATAAAGTACTAACTATATTAAATTATTATACTTACATACTATTAAAAATCATAAAATAAAACTGATATTTTATATTAGATGTATTAAAAGGTGTATTTACATGTAGTAAACATGGAACAGCATATAGTAAAAGGTAGAAAAAAATCTGAACAGGGTCACAGAAAGGTAAGGTAATTAGCTATTAAATACTAGCAATTAATAATAATGGCAAAGCCTACCTATGCATTTTCAATATCCTTATTTTAAACATAACATTCTTTTCTTTGGATGGCTTTGTGTATATAACTCACAGTGTGACACAGTCACGGAGGGTGGCAGGGACCTCTGGGGCTCACCTGGCCCCACCAGGTCACCTACCGCCGGCTGCTGCCCAGGGCCTTGTCCAGGCGGGTTCTGAACACCCCCAGGGATGCAGACCCCACGGCCCCCCGGGCAGCCTGTGCCAGCGCTCGGTCACCCTCCCAGCGAAAAAGCGTTCCCTGACGCTCAGAGGGAGCCTCCAGCGTGTGCCCACGGCCTCTGGTCCTCTCACTGGGCACCACTGGGAAGAGCCCGGTGGCTCCCTCCTCTTTGCACCCTCCCCTCAGGTACGTGCCCCCGTTGGTACGACACCCCCTCTGAGCCTGCTCGTCTCCAGACCAACCCGTCCCAGCGCTCCCAGCCTTTCCTCGCAGGAGAGATCCTCCAGTCCCCTCATCGTTTTTGTGGTGCTTCATTGAACTGTCTCCAGTGCGTCCATGTCTCTCTTGTGCTGAGGAGCCCAGAACTGGGCCCAGCACTCCAGGAGTGGCCCCACCAGTGCCAAGCAGTCCCTCCCGGCTCCCTCGACCTGCTGGCAGCATTCCTCCCAACACAGGCCAGGATACCACTCGCTGCCTTTGCTCCCTCTCACTGTCTACTCACCCAGCACACACCTCATCAGCTCCTCTGCAAGGATCTAACACAGGACACTACCAAAAAGCTTTCCTGAAGCCAAAGTACACGATATCCAGTGCCCTCCCCTGATCTACCAAGCCAGCCAATTCACTGTAGAAGGGTATCAGCGGGCTGTTCAAGCACGACTTCCCTTTGGTGAACCCGCACAGACCACTCCTGATGAACTTCTTGTCATTCATATGCATGGAAATGGTTTCCAGGGTTGGCTGCTCCGTCACCTTCCCACAGACTGAGGTGAGGCTGACTGGCTGGTACTTCCCTGGGTCCTCCTTCCTGAAGACAGGAGCGACGTTTGCATTCCTCCCATTCTCAGACACCTCCCCCAACCACCTTGATTGTTCCAAGCGGACATAAAATTGCATCAGTCAGGGCACACTCATGGGTCCATCCCATCAGGGCCCATGGATTTGTGATGTCCAGTTTGGTTATGTATTCCCTAAACCGATCCTCTTCCAGCAAGGGTATGCATTCCAAAGGTAGACATTCCCCCTGGTCTCTGAGGCCTGGGATTCCTGAAGGCTGATCTTGCCAGTAAAGTCTGAGGTGAAGGTGGCATTAAGGATCTCAGCCTCTTCTGTGTCCCCTGTCACTGGGACTCCTGCCCCACTCAGCAGCAAGCCCACATTTTCCCTAGCCTTCCTTTTGTCACCTGTGTACTGACAGAAACCCTTCTGGTTGCCCTCGACGCCCCTCACCAGATTCAACTCCAGGCAGTTTGTTGGCTTTCCTCGCTGTGTCTCTGCATGCTCGGGCAGTGTCTCTGTATTCTTCCCAAGTTACCTGGCCCTGCTTCCACCCTCTGAAGGCTTCCTTTGTCTGTCTGAGTTTTGCCAGGAGCTCCTTGCTCATCCCTGCAGGCCTCCTGGCATTTTTGCCTGACTTCCTGCTCAGTGACATGGACCACTCCTGAGCTCAGAGCAGCGATCACCGAATATTAACCAGCTTTCTTGGGCCTCTCTTCCCTCCATCAGACCCTACTAAGCAGGTCTTTAGAGGCCAAAGTCTGCTCTGCTGAAATCCAGCACTGTGACCTTACTTTTTGCCCTCCTCCCTCCCCTCGGGATCCTGAGCTCTACCACCTCACGGTCACTACAGCCAAAGCTGCTTTAGACCTCCACATCCCTAATGAGGCCTTGCTTGTTTGTGAGCAGGAGGTCCAGCAAAGCACCTCTCCTTGCTGGCTCCTGTCACCTGGGTCAGGAAGTTGTCACTGATGCTCTCCAGGAACCTCCCGGATTGCTTATGCCCTGCTGGGCTGTCCCTCCAGCAGATACAGCAGCAACATCTATATATCGGAACCCAAGGCACATGGACAATCAGTTCGTAAATCTAAGTTATGAAAAGTAGGAAACTGACAATTTAAGCATCATAATCTTTAACGGATTTCTGTAGACGATGTGCTTACCTGTTTATTGCTTTTTGCCAAACAAAGCTCTTCAAAGTGGTTCCACAAGACCCAGAACTGCATTTTAATGCCAGTCTGTCATTCAGAACATAAAAACTAAGCCTAGTGAGAGCAGCCCTAACATCCCTGTGGGATACTGCCTGAATGATTGAATTAAGGCAATCCTGCAGGCCATAGCTTGTGTGAGTTACTTTGAGTATAAGGAGGTCTTCTGAGGATAGTTTTAGCGAGTCTAAAAATCTGAAAAGGTATAAGAGAAAAGTTATTAATAGTATGTTAATAGTTTATCAAATCAACAGCTGCAGAGTCTCCAACGGCTCAGAACCCCACTGCTCACTGACAAAACTGTAGGACCCCCTTAAAGGACACAAGCAAGAGCCGAGAAGTTGTCAAGATGGACAGGGATATCGATACAAGCATTTCAGTCCTATGAAATCAAGAATCTTTTAAGATGCTCAGTTCTGCATGCAAAGGATTCTCAAAGACAGAAATGATGCTTAGTCAAGAGCTAACTAGAGCGAATTTTCTTCATGATCTACCGTAATTCTTACTAGTACCATTAAAAAGAGTAATTATTTAAAATTTAAATTCCCAAGGAAAGAAAAAGCAAGCCATGCAACTATACAGGGGTTAAAAACGCAGCTCCCCAAGAAAACTGCAATGACTACAAGAACAACAGCCACGAGGCCCCTTTAAAACTGCTCACAACCAGTATGACCATCAATAAGAGTTGGTCTGAGAAGCTCTAGACTTCGTGTAGAAATGCCATTTAGGTGAAACGTCAGCTGTGACAACACAGCTATAGCCCCTGGGGACGCGATCCCTTGTGTTCAGAAAGGCAGCGTTCTCGAACCAGGGAAAACTGGAACGGCTGTTTGGAGTTGAAAACCTGTCTCGACTTGATGGAACACTAATAATTGAAATATTTTGGGATTTAAAACAAAGATAAAATGGCTCACGCTTCTGCTTCCGTCTCATAATCTCTCAGGTGCAACAGGTTGTCAATCCCATGGTACCACGACAGATTCCAAGCCAGCTTCAGCATATCTGACACCGGTTTCATAGCCAAGTACTCGGAAGTCAGTGGCACCACAACAGTATTGGGGCTGACTACGTGATGACCAGTGATCCTGACGGGGAGATGGTACCTGAAATAAATAAATATCTAAGTTTTAAAAAGTGTTTGGGTTTTTTTTTTGGGGGGGTGGGGTGATTTTTTTTTTTGTTTGGTGGGGTGTTTTGTTTTGATTTAAAAGCCCTATTAGAACAAGATATTGAATTTGCAAATAAAGTTTTCGAAACTTTTTCGGAGAACAAAGTCTTGGAGAAAAAACTCGGCATTTAAAAATGCGGACAATTTTGGGTTTAACATCAAATGTCTCCCTTCATTCTCCTACTCCATACTTCAAAGACAGTAAATGCAAAGAAGCAAAGTTAACTGTAAAAAACCCAACCCAACCAAAGCCAAACCACCCAGACGTACCTTCTAACAACAGCAAGCGGTAAACTGAAGGCAGGTGGGCCACTATCATTCGTGGTGACGCCATTAGCCCTGCAAGAGATTAAGTTTTAGTTATTATTCCCTATTTTAAGCTTAGATTTTCTGCTAAAGCTACACTTATTATTTCTTTATTATTCAGATATAGCTGTAGTTTTTCCTCCAGCTAGCTCTTTAATAACCCATTGATGAATAATTTGTATGAATAAATGTTTCTTCATGATGATGCAATATTAAGAGAGTTCTTAGATCACACACATACAGAATACTTTTCGCAGATGAACTGCGCATAAAAATGAAGTTAAAGATTATATACCACAGCACAGGCTTGTTTTCTCTTTTCTATTAGGGAAAAAGACACTGAAAAGAATCACAATGCATATTTCATGTGTGTGAATTCTAAAAGCATATTTTTTTTCTGAAGAACTTGCAAATTTCAAACAGTAAAATATCATAAGCTGAAGTCTGTTGTTTTAAGGACAAGTGCTACACTTAAAAGCCCAAGTAAATAAGAGAATTCTAATGAAGTTCAACAACCCACGCCTACAGCTAGCTACTTGGTTTGTGCAGTTTCCATTTACAGAAATGACGGATTAGACCAATCAGGGTTTTTTAAAAAATTAAAATGAACACTGCGATACCGAGTATTTACACTGCACAAACATGCCAGAGCCACCTACTCAGCCTGCAGCTCAAGTACTCAAACAGTTTGTTTGGCCTACAGACATGCAGTTTTCGATACAGCAAAGTTTGGGAAATAATTTGTTTGGATACATGTAAAAACTTATTTTCATTAAAACCTTGAATTTTGACTACAGAATATGCCATTAAGTAACTGTTTTCATACCATGTTTCTGTTCTTGCTACTTCATCAAACAACAGAAGACAAAGCAACACTGCAGTTTCAGTCAAAACAGCACGATCGCTTTGGAATATCAGGGAAACTGAACGAAAGAAAGATATTTAAACATGTGTTAGGAAAACATCGACATTTAATAATGCATAGAAGGACACTGGTTAAAACCAACTGATTTCCAGTCACTTTGCCCGCCTCTTCAGCAGGTGCCACGACTCAGGTAACACTGGCAGCTTGTGACTCGGGTATCTTTCAACTGTTAGGGACTCTGAGGTGGTCCGAGGTCCCCAAGAAGGCTTTTGGCTGACCAGCTAACCCCCTTTCACACATTTTCTCTCCATGCACGTATTGAAGTCAAAACAGAACCTTTACCTCTGAAGAGCCCGAGCAGCAGAGACGGCCGCTGTGCTAGGGACAGCCGAACCACGGGGTCAGCACACACCAGCTTGCGCAACAGCCTGAGGCACGGCAACGCTATGGGTTCCATAACCTGCAGGGACAGAGGAAGAAAACTCTCTCTCTATATATATAGGTACCAATCGGGATAACCCATTAGGAGATGCTCACCACACACTGTCACGCTATGAAGCCAGCCATACCATCATTTGTAGCAGAGAAACCTGGAACTTCCCTAGGCAAGCACATTTCGCCTGGACAGTAAAGGCATATTCATTAGAAAGTATTTATTCACTTCGGGGTTTATTTTGTTAGCAATTGACTGTAATTTTATTGTCTCTGGCATCACAAGACAATTATAAGGTTTGCTTCCAAAACACGTATTTTTAAGAAGCATATATGTGAGCTGCAGGATTTCCAAAAAACCCCAAATATTCACAACCATTCGAGCTTACTGATTTTTTTTAAAAATGCCAACACCTTGGTGTTTCACATTCACTGTCTGGGTCCCGCTCTTTCGGATCAGGAAACCTAAGAGGGGACAGCAGCTTGCTAAAAGTCAAAGTACCAGCGAACGGCCAAAACTACAACCAAAGACACGGCTCCTAAGAATGAGAAACCAGCACGTCTTTCACGGCACCGTAACGCGGCTTGTCTGAGGGCCTGCCTTCAAATTTTGGTTCGCAAACTGCATCACCAAACACAGTTTTGTTTAATACCAAATAAACAAAACCCCTGCTTATTTAGTACGGAAAGTCTTTCGCACAGCTACATAAAGCCTTATTTAAATGGTGCTTTTCCATCTACTATGTCCTTTATTCTTTCTTTACACTTTTCCAAGAACAATAAGAGGAATTCCACTAACTATCAAGCAATTCTCTTCTCTTGTACATTTTTGGGGAAGAAGTCATCACTATATAAATATTCTCATGGTTTCTTAACCCCAGGTTTGGACTGTTGGACTGCTATAACAATACCGTGCGAGCAAACGAAGAAATACGCTAAAAACGAATCCAGTGAAGCAATGCTGAGAAACTTTTAGCCTAAATAAGCTTACATAAAGTGTTTTCAAATAATGAATGTCAGAAAAATTCAAGCAGCACATTAGGCATATTACAAAAACATGGAACTTGGTCATCTACAACAAGCACACACTCAACCCTAAACGTGATCTTATCCCCTGAGGTGATCTTCTGTGGGTCAGAAAATTACTTAAACCCAAAACTCAATCTGACACAGATTCCCACTTACAATAACATCTCATTTTTAATTATAATTTGCTTCAGGACTTACGTAGAGACTATGACAGACAATATAAAACTTTTTTTTTTTTAAGCTCATTAAAAGTTACGTTTTTGGTCTCTACTGACAAAGCCCCAGGGCAGTGCTGGTACAGCTCAGAACCGCACAGACAGGGTTAGTTCTCTGCCTAACTATCCTCATAGGCAGTGTCATGGCAGGCAAACCAATTTTCTTTCATTAAGAGGATCTTAGCATTATCGAAAATACAACAAAGTACATTACAATTGTTACTAAACATTTATAACCTGTGCAGTTTTAACGCACAAAGACTAGTGTTACAAGTGTGGGAAAAGGCAAATTTACTGCAGCCGTGCCGTGCAGCGCTTGCAGAAGAACTTGTAACTCTAGTTTTACCTTGCCGTCCACGTGTATGCACTCATCAAGGTAAGCCAAAACCTTCTCTATCACACCCAACTTTTTCACAATGCCATGCATTTTGGTATCTGTAGGAAAAAAGACAGCAAGAATCACCGGTTCTGCACGAATTTAATACTGAACTCCTTTCTGCAAGACCACGGGCTCTTGCTGTTGAGAACAAGCTTCCGAAGTTGCCAATCCACAGCAAAGTACAGCTCTAGCTCCACCACGGGAAGCGTCCTCCGAGCCTTGTTACCCGACTGCAGCCGCCTCTTGGACGTCTCTCAAACGCCCTGTAAGAACTTTGTGTTCCGCAGCGATCCCTGGTGCAACTCAATTTCAGTCGAACGAGGATTTCGCTTGTAATACTTAAAAAGTCTTCAACAGTTTAATATGGCCCTAAAAACGGTGTTTGCTCAGTCACCATCAGAGTACTTTCCACTGAGCTCATCCTTCAGAGCATCCGGTTTAAGACCATTCAACAACAGCAAAGCAGCTGGGTCAGTTGGGTCGCTTGGGTTTGGTTTTCTAAAGAATTATAAAGCAACCCTTCATATGAAATCTGTCCCGATAAAGCTGCATTTTTTCCTTTACGATTTCATCCTATGTTACATTTCATACCTTCTGACACCCGAAAGCTCTGGCAGCCATTACTAAGTGTATTTTACGAGACAAAGTAGACAATTCCTCATTTTTGTGACCATTTTTCTGACAAGAAAAATGTTAATATTATTTAAGTCTTCACCTTCCCATAGTGAAAAACTTACGTTCTATCACTAGGATTGGAGTTCCTTGAAGAAAACACACTTGAACCAGCATTTCAGTAGGCAGAGTGCAAACACCCAGGTTTGAACTCTACAGTTATGCCCGGGCACAGAGTCAAACCATACTGACCTGCACCTCAATTCAATCTGAACTTCTTCACCAGAACTCAATTTTTCCATGTGAGCAACACCATTATAAAAAACACCCATGATGCAAATTTATGATTAGACTTTGCTTGCATACCTATTAGATGGAATGCCACAGGAACCTGCCTCTTTGTACTGAAAGAGGGTGTAGACACAGAAGCTTAGCTTGAGTCCACTGAACCCTCACTCACACCAATGACATGTCAATCCCTTTGAACTGCAGTTACTACTGAGGCCAACTGAAAATGGAGGAAGAAATACTCCACTAAGGATAAAATCCCTTTAGCTAGCCTGTGTAACCTAAAAATTAACTTTCCTAAAGAAAATTCACCACCACCAAAAAGAAGTACTTTATATTGCCCTCCCTCCCTTGAGGGCAAGTCTCTGAGTTCACACCAGCAAAGCGCCTGAAGCGCCATTAGTTCTGAGACAGATCAACAAACTGATGAACGTTAAAAAGGAAGAGCAGACCAAAAGCTGTTGCAGAGCTCACAGAGTTCAGCTCACTCCTCTATTACCCAAGGCAACTGGGTTTTTAATAGTAAGACCACTATTTCTTATCCTTGAGGGCAACAACAACAAGCAACTGATTTTTTTTTTTTATCTGACTAGGTAGATCATCCACAACAGCGTTAAAATTCGGGTCCAACCCCACACACCAAAACTGCAGGGAGCCCCCTTAGCACCAACGTGCAGAAGCCCCGCAGAGCTGCAAGCTCACACACCGACCAGCACAGGAACATTGGCCCGCTGCACAACGTTACCTTCCAAAATGACCGCGAGCTGCTCGGCTGCAGACTTCCGTAAGACCAGGTCAACGGCACCAGAAGTCAGGAGGGCGTACAGCTTTTCAACAGTCTCTGCCTGAAAGTAAAACGGCATTAGATCCGCGTCCAGCACGCTACCACGAAACAAGGTGACCTGCCAAATCTCCTAGCAAAGCAGGAAGTAAGAAGGCTCTAAATTCCTCATCAGAACGCACTTGATGAGGCTCCAACGCAGGCAGCAAGAAAGGATGAGGTTACAGCCTTTCTGCAGCACGTCTCTGATAACGCCCGTGGAACAGAACAAGACAACAGCTTCCCGTGCACAAGAGGTGCGATGTCTTTGGGCAGGACTGCAGCACGCTCGACCCTGCACAGAACTGCCAGGACGTGCTTCTAAGCCTGCGAACGGGACTGACTTTTTAATGGCAATAGGGCTAGAGCAGCTTCAACAGCCCCACACATCCATACACATTTCAGGTGCTGATGTTTCGAAGGATGTAGGGGAAGGGTATAAATCAAGTGTACAACGAGTGGTCAGGGTAATTTTTTGTCAGAAGTCAGGCACCTTAGTCTTTGTTCAACAAACTGCTGTTAACCTGAAAGCGTTGGGGGTAAAGAAGGAAGGAGAATGGAGGGGAGGAGATGGCAATGGAACAAAAACAGAGAGAGATGTAAGTTTTCCCATAGGCCAAATACTTGTGGTTTGTTTTTTTACTTTGCAAAAGTAGCAATATTAAGAGAACACAGACAGGTATTTGTAACCTGTTTTCGAGTATTTCATATTTTTGTGCTTGTTTCAGTAAGAATTGATTTTGTGGGGAAAAAGCTCCATGTGGAAACCAAAATCCATCGGAGTCTATCCACGCACAATGAAACTGTTGTAACCAGAGCAGGCCTGTATTCTGTACCGCAGTTAAGTCTTGCTGTTAACTTATCTGCAGAGAGGACAAAAAAGAATGAGGAAAGAAGGAATTCTTTCCTTACTGTTGTGTATGGAGGCGTAAAGACTACTGCTGAAGTACTGGAAAGAACACATCTACAGATTTCTTTTTGTGAAGCAAGCCAATTCATACGAAATACTGCAACCTGCAGAAAGTGATGACTTTAGTGGCTGGACAGGCAGAAGGTGGCAATATTTAGACATTTTACTCACCTTAAATATCGACTCTGTTTTATCATCCAATTTTAGCTCAATAGGTCTTTCTACAACAAATAAGTTTGAAATGCTGGAAAGCACACTGCCGTGCAGATGTGGGCGTTTCAGGTTTGCCCCTTCTTCATTAAAAAGATGGAAGGTTAAATGTTTAAGTGCTACAGAACGAACCCTAAAGGAGTAAACAATTAAAATATATGAAGTCCTCATACTGAATAACCTTAGCTGTCCAGTTAAAAGTTCATTAGTATATAAAATTAATACAGTGGGGGGGAGTACTTAACACAGTATTGATCAATCTACCTTTCAAATCAACCCACTGCATAATAATCAACTGTTTTTTTAGAGAAGACGTTTTTGTCATCAACATTAGAACGGCCTGCATAGGGAGGTGGTGGAGTCACCATCCCTGGAGGTGTTTAGGAGACAGGCAGATGTTGTACTTAGGGACATGGTTTAGTGGTGTTGGTAGAGCTGGGACAAAGGTTGGACTCGAAGATCTTGAAGGTCTCTTCCAGCCAAGACTGTTCTAGGATTCTATGAGCTGAGGTGCTACAGGGCGTTACTTACAACTGCTTTTTGGAGAAGAGAAGACGCAGAGCGGCCCGTAGTCTAGTCGTTCTGGGCAGAACACCCTCGCCTTTGTCAGAGGTTGTTTCACTCAAAGCAAGGATACAGTTCCCTAGCGCGTCTTTTGAGTCAGCGTAACCCTAGAACAAACAAAAGTGTCCAAAATTAAAAAAAACTCACTTACTAACTCAGCAAGTTAGACAAGGTAATTCCTCGTTTAGGGGATAAGGGAGGGTGGGGAAGGAACAGCACTCAAAAAAAAACCCCCAAGCAATAACTTTTCAGAAAACATTCAATTTCTGCAGATTAATATTCCTGTGTAAAAACAGTTTTAAAAATTAATAAATGATTTCTACTACAACAAAGTTTCACATTCTAGTAATACCAGACTAAGATCTGACTACAAATTCAAAGCAGTCACTTTGACTGGCACCAGGACCCCCCCAGGACATTCCTCCGCCCAAACAAGCCTGCTGGCACACTACTGCCAGTCTATTCTCTGCCTGTTCCTCAGGCGAACGCTCCGTTTGCTGTTAACGTGACCGTGCGCCGCTGACGTGGTTTCACACATCGGACTGGGCAGTACCTGGAGAACAGCAGTGACGGGACAGAGGGCCTCGATAAACTTGTTCCAGGTCCACACCGCCATTCCCAGTCGTCCCCGCAGCAGGTGCAGCAGAAGGGCCCTGGCCGCGGCGTTCACCTGCTCGACAACCAAACAGAGATGCTCATGAAGCCACCGGTGCGGCCGGTCAGCTTGTCAACGCTGTGATTGTTACACAAAAACATCCCCAAGAGAAAGGATCTACAGACAAAACATTGTCCCTGCAGAACGGCACTGTTACGGTGTCAGCCAGGCTAAACAGACAGTTTCAGGAAATCCTCTCGGAGAACCTCCACAAACAGTCCTGCCTGAACAGCACCCGGCCATTTCCCCTTAGAACTCTGCTTCGGCTTTTCCGACATAAAACACGTCAGGACTTCAGCTTACGCACCCATTGGTCCCCCTGTCCCGCCGGTAAAACAAATCCCGTTCCTTTTCTCCCCTGCCCTGTCACGCCCCTCTCAGGTGTACGGGGCAGAGCCCTGCACGGGGCCCGTTCGCTTCCTCCATCAGGCCAACAGTCACACAGGGAGGTCACCAAAGACTTCCGAATCGCACCTGAACCCACCTGCAGCTCTCCATCACACAGGAGAACAGGCACGTGTCAGCACCTCGCCGCCCTAACGTCCCTGCAAGCACCGGGAGCACACACGACAGGCGGTGCCACGGCACTCACAAGCCGGTACTACCGCCACAACAGGAGCAGAGGGAAACCACCCAGCTCCTCGGAACACGCTCCTCCTTACACAGCGTAAAGACGCCACCTTTGGTAGCTAAACCCTTGCATTTTATGCCCAATCTTTTGTTAGAAGAATAGCAAGAATGCATTATAAGGTAAAGACAACAAAATGAGGTCATTTCATAAACATCCATTCTCTGTCTCAATGATCTTTTAAAATTCAGTACCAGCTGAAGTCTATTTGTTATGCCTGAGCAATCACTGAAAAGAAAACTGGCAGTCTTTTTGACACGGCATCCAAGGCAGCAGTCAAACAAAATAAATGCTTTCCTTGGAAAAGACAGGTTACATACAAATACAGCACCAAAGACACTTTACTTCCCCTTTCAAAATGCTAACTCTAAAAAAATCACTTTTAAATGGAATTGTGCACAGTACTGTGTTAAAAAAGAAAAATCTTGTTTCAGAAGACAAGATGGAAAAAAAAACCCACCAAAAATTTGTTAGTCAGCGTTCTTTCCCCTCTGACTGCAGGGACCTCACAGCTCAGCTGTAAAGCAGTTTCAAGTAACCAAAGTAATTTCCCCCCCCCAGAACTCCCTACTTAGCTTTACAGGTAAGCTGGGATACAGGTTAAACATCCATGCATAGAAACGAACCCAACGGAAATCCGGTCCTAGGCTATAATACTATAAACCACTTCCGTAATACTCGGGTGATTAAATGCAAACCCAGATGTGTTTGTAGGGATGAAATACATTTTTATAGAAAAGACACTGCAGATTTAAAACGCCCTTTTGCTCCTCAACTGGTGCCCACATTCCAGAGGTCATCCCACCTTCAGACTTGAGACTTCATGTTTTCCGTAAAGGCAGAGCACCACACGGACCATTTCACCACACGCACACTTTATTAGGGCTGAATACATCCCATTTTTCACTGGTCTTTATTACGTTTAATGGCATCCTATGCCTCGAACATTATTTTGTCTCTGAATTAATCATAACAAAATAATCTTCCCATTTACTACAACTTCACTGATGGCATAGGCTTTCTATACCAGATTTTAGGTAAGTCTCAGGCCACCGTGGAGAGTGCCAACAGCTCCTCTGCGCGACAGCGAGTTGCGAACACAGCTGCTGAGCACAGTACCTCGTCCTTATCTTCCTGCAGGCCGAACGCACAGACCTCGTACAGCACTTTGGGGTGAAGAAGAAAATGCACTCCGTGGCAGACTGAAGACACAGGCTTCGCAATACTACCAACACCTAAACAGTCCTTCAGTAAAAACAAAGTCGGTTAGTGTTAAAATTCGAGGCAGCTGCACTCCTACATCTTGTTTTGCAGACAACTTGTCCAGGTGCCACCCAGCGAAAGGCCTTCGCCATGCCGTTTGGAAGGCTACGGTCCTGAACGCTGACCACCGCAGCCCTGGAGGGAACGCTGGCTTTATAGACACCAGCTGAAAAGTCCTGTAGCTACACAGGACCAAGAAATGCAAAATAACTTTGTTTTTAATTTAAACAACAGTGAAAGCAAATCAGATAAACTTTATATGTTGTTTGGTATTACGTTAAAATACGCAAAACCTGGAACGGGCAGGTAGAAATCTCACAAAAAGATGCACGTGTCACTCAGTGGAGATGGGGAGGGGTTTTCTCCTCCTGCGAAAGACCAGCTCCAGCGTCTGTGCACCTCAGGGAACCTGCTGTAAGCACGGTAAGTAAGGGAACTTCGGGACAAGGAACCTGCACGTCAGGGAACCTGCTGTAAGCATGGTAAGCTCAGCTGATGAGCATTATGGACAGCAAGAGTTACAACAAAGTATTATATCAAAATAGAAAAATGATTTTTATTTTGTGAACCAGTATTACCGAATATCTGAAGTGACCTGACGAGTACAACACTGCCGTTCTTAATACGGAGTGCAGCCACACTTGTAAAGACGTTCGCACTCTTTAACCCTTGGGCTGTCCTTATAAAAAGCTAAGGCAGTGACAAAATACCCACATAAACCAAAATCAAAACAACCCCTCCAAAACAACAAATTAAGGTTTCAAAACAACGAGTTCATAAAAGGACTTACATGTTCTCAAACACAACCCAAGCTTTTATATATAGGAAAAGTTATTCTTCCCTCACATTTTTTGTAAGGTCTAAGCAATTAAAGTGTAATTTAGTCAAAAATATTTATTCTGAAAGTGTCAGTATTTTATTAATACGTGCCCAGAGAGGCGGCAGAAGCCTCGGCCCTGGAAACACTCAAGGTCAGGCTGGACAGGGCTCTGAGCAGCCTGATGCAGCGAAAGGGGAGGCTGGACTAGATGAGCTTTAAAGGTCCCAACCCAAATGAGTCTGTGACTCCATGAACCTCACGTCAGCAGAGAAGCACAGCTGAACACTGGAACTGGTTTCAAAAGCAAAATTAAACTGAAATATTTCTGTGTAAGAGCAGCAAACCCCAAAGTGATCAGCATAATGAGGAACCCTTTTAAAAAATAAAAAGGCCGGTCACGGTTTCCCCCTCTGGAGAGCCTGCCGCCCTGCAGGGCAGCGCTGGGGCATCGCCTCGCCAAGCCGACGTCATACCGCAGACACAGCCGCGATCTGCCGGCCCAGGCCACGCGGAGGCCACGGCACGCAGCACGGCAAGCAGGGCTGGCACGAGAAATGCTTTTGAGGAGGAAATCCTGCAATAGGCATGATTCAGTGCAACACCAAGAGCATGAAGCCAGCATCGGTTCTGACCTTGACCACGTCCAAACAGCAGCGATAGGCTTCAGCTTTGACACCCAGCAAAGGGTGAGACAGCAGCCGGAGAAGCACCTTCTGACCCTCAGCCTGGAGCAACGAGTTCGCCTCGGCAGACGTCCAGCTAGAAAGGAAAAATAATCAATTCAACTCCTGCTTATTTTACAGTACCCAAGGTTGTCCTGAAAAACATTCCTGTTAAATTGCAGGATAATCTCTGAAAAACACTTCCTGAAAGGGTATGCAACCTGAGGAATGACTTGACAGACACAAGTTCAGAGATCACAATATAGTTGCCAAAATCACAGCATCAATCTTCACACCTGTACACTCATAATTTTTTTTTTATACATGGAGGTACCCATAGATTTTCAAAATTCTCTCATCAATTCTCTCTGAAAACAAAATTCTACTGGGCTTCAATAGCCTCCTTATATGGTACATGATGATAAACAAAATTCTACACTTTCAGAAATTTTTCCCTGTAGAGGTTAAAAGTCTACCTCATTATCACAAAATGCACTGATGTTAGTTAAAAAGGGAAGCGAATTTCCTGGTGCCTTAAACAGTAATCCAACAGTGGTTAATTCTAAAAGCACTAGAACACTGAGAAGTGGCTTGACGGTTCATAATTTAAAAACACTTATTAGAGAACTCTTAAATGTAGTTTCCTTGGGAAAAAATCCCTAAAGTGAATTTCTCATCAGTATAAAATTAAGATTGTGTATTTGTAATGAAGCATGCAATACAGGACTCTTCCAAGCACCACAGGGTAACTTAAATTCTCTAACTAGAGACACAGAAAATTTAAGCAGCAACAAACACACGCTGGTTAATAAACGAGATTCTGTGTCATAATATACAGCATCTACAACAAAAGAAGTCCCTTAGGATTTTCTTTAAGTCACATAAATACACTTGGAACAAAGGAACTAAAAAAGTTTGAAAGACAGGTCAAAGTGGTTTAAGACCGTTTCTGTACAAATCACATCGTAACTTTATACACAAAATCATAAAAGCTTACATGTAGAAAAGAATAAAAACATCAGGTTAAGCACCTGAAATCCATTTTTCAGGACATCCACCACAGTGACACAAATTATTTCAAAGGATCTGTCAATGGCTAAAAGAAAACAATTCTTCAAATACAGGGAATAAACAAGTTAAGTTTCTACTTGAGAAACTTCATTCATAAAAAAGATCACATTTTCTCAGGTAAGAGTTTGAATCGTGAAGTACTCACATGTTTGAGCACATGTGAACGCACTCCTGGAGCCAGGGGCAGGGCTGATGGTAGGGCAGGCTGCCCAGCGCCTGATCTGCCAGTTCTACCAGTTCCGAAAGGTTCTTGTCCCCCTGAGAAGTAAAATGCAGAGAAAGAAACTATCAGAATCAGCAATATTAGAAATATGCAGTGTTACTGTGTAACCTTTCAGAATTTATCACAGAACGGTTTGGGCGGGAAGGGACCTCAAAGACCACCCAGTCCCACCCCCTGCCCTGGGCAGGGACACCTCCCACCAGACCAGGTCGCTCCCAGCCCCATCCAGCCCGGCCTTGAGCCCTGCCAGGGAGAGGCACCATCATTTCATACATCTGCTAAGTTGCCTCTGGTTCAGCCTTTCACAGGGAAGTTTAGAACGAACCTGATTAACAAAGTAAATAGATTTCAAACAAATGAAGTTTAGAACATACTCCTGGGAGCTGGATTCAGCTGCTTAACCCAACCCAACTTCTGTTGAACTCCGTGGGAATAATGTCTGTCTGACACTTGGCAGCATGAACTCGCCTAATGCTATCCAAAACTCCTTGTGAAATGCCCAAGGACACACCCACCTTTGCATACTTCACACTTCCAACCAAATTATTATTCTTTAAAATCAATATGCATTTATAGGAGAAGATGATAATGAAAGATTTAAACTTTTAACCATTTGCTATTAACGCGGAAGTTCGGGCTGTTTGGTTTTGTTTTTTTTTTTTTTTTTAAATTTAAATGTTTCCATATGTTTTCATACTTCCGGCTACCAAGTACATCCAGTGTGAGCCATTCAAATTTGACAGAGTTAACTTCAGCGTAAACAGTACTTTGTGAGCGCAGTATTGCTTCTGTTAAGTTCAGAACTTTCCTATGTAAGGATGGATTAACTCGGATTTAAGGTAGCACTGCATGTGTATTGCTGTACTTCATTCATTTCTTTAGTAGCAATAGAACAAGTATTTTGCACTATTACTTGTTCATTTGGAAAACGTAGAATAATATTTTGGTACCGTGCTAGACTCTCTTATCTAATTAAGCAAAGTGTATTAGCTGTCTTCATAAGCTGTCTTCATAACCAAGTGAAGCACACGGATCTCATGCAGTCTAGAAGTAGCTGCTTCTCAGAGCTACAGCTGCCAAGTAGCTGGAAATTAAAATTTTCTGAAGTATTTAAATACTGGACAACATACATACACACACAGACACACACTATATACTTAAATAGAGTATTTGCTTCTTTCTTACTACTTTGCCCCTATAAGGACTTATGCCCATTTCCAATCTCTAAGTGTTTATTTCCTTGTTTTTACTTAGGATAAGATTTTTTTTTTCTTTTTGAGCAGTATCAGTGAGAAGAAATACGAGTTAACTACATCCTGCACGGCATGGAACACTCATCCCTACATCTGGATTTTCTTCGGCTACGCTAGACTATAGTTTTTACCACAGAGAAAGGGAAGTGGAGTAAAGAAATTAGCCTACAGGAAATATTTTATGTAATGAAGCTCCACACCTTCTTCTGAACTTCAGCCATAAAGCTACAAGCGCACTCGATGGAACGGGCAGCTTCGGCAGCTCGTTTGTAAACACCGTAGTTCTCGGTGCTCATCTGCTCCAGGTAGGCTGCGACGGCCTCGTGAGCGCTCGGGTACTCCAGGGAGAAGGACACGTCCAGGGAGAGCAGAAACAAAGCGTTCAGCAAACTGGGCTGCAGAACTGTACTGGCCTTTGGAAGAGAGAGCAGCTGTCAGCACCACAGCCTGCAGACCCCCCAAACCCACAGCAGCATCCACAGGCCGGCGACAGGCACAGCCGCGACCGCCGCTACTGGAAACTGCAGAAACAAACCCATACCAGATGAGCTCCGTATGAAGAACTGGGTTTTTATTAAGAAGCGCGAGTTCATTAGCGCCAGTCCCCCCGTCAGACCTGTAACCAGCCCCAGGAGCCGTGCACGACCCAGCCCCAGCCCCAACCACCACACGCCCCTCCGCCAGGGCCGGTTTACTGTCTGACCACGAGATGGCACAGAACACACAGACCACACTGATGTCTGCACTTGATAAAAAGCTGCCTGTAACTCCACACAGCAACGTCACACGCTGAGAACCGAGATTTCTGTTGTTGTTGTTCTGGCTTTTTGGCTGCAAGCATTCAGTATTCCTCCACCTAAAACTCTGACCTCAAACACAGTAACATTTTTCCAACTCCTGCCCTACAAAATTTCCATTCTGTATATTACGTACATCAGAACGTAAAGACAGAAATTATAAAGTCAACAGATTTGTACCTGCAAATAAGCGTAGACATACTAGAGACCACTTATATTAATAGTAAATAAGACTTGGTATTTGTGACAAAAAGCCCGTAACTGAAAACCAATCTGCTACTTCGACTGAAGAACACTAAAGAGAGCTACACTGCAACGAAAAGTGATAAAAAAAACTGTAAACCCATACAGGTTTGAACATCATCTAACACTCTGCATTCTACAAACACTTGCAAACATCAGACCCCCCCCGCCCTCGAAATATACAGAAGAAAAAGAAAACAAAAAACCACCTCAAGAGCTACAACAGAACTTTTTTAAAGACCATTGGAAGCAAAGAAAAATTAAGATCACTATGATGTAAGAGACATAATTGCTCACTACGTCCCACCAGGTTAAGTGATGATTTTAAACATCATGCAGTTCTAGTCTTATTCAGCCTCACTTGCACGCGTACCACAAAGGAGCAGGGGGCAGCATAGCTCTGCAAACCACGCACCATGATAGCGGGAAAAAGAACATGGAATTTCAAAAACTCGTTAAAAAAGCTGTATTAAAAATGTTTTCTGAAGACCTGAAATCTGCAGAAGATTCTGCAGAACGCACCAGTAACTGACGAGCGGACCAAGTTGCCTCCTGTGATCATACCTCAGCCAATGTAAATCAGGTGACTTTCTCTGCCCAGGAGCTATTTTCCCAGTATCATCACTGGGGAAGGTATTCCTTTTTTTCCCGCTCTTAAAAATGCAAACCCAAGAGCAATCACACAAAATATGCTCATTTTAGGCGTACCTTTTCCACAGGGAGAAGGGTTTGCAGCAATCGAACGGTGAAGAGAGAAATGCTAATAAACGCCGTTCTGTGGTGCACCAACATCACCTCGGGCTGCTCTGCGCTCGCGTTGGTTTTGTGGTACAATATG